CCCCCGCCACCTCCTCCCCTCCCCCACGCCCCCAACTACCCCTCCCCACGCCCCCGATCTACACCCCCCACTTGCCCCCCGCCACCTCTCCCCGCCCCCAGCCCCCTGATCTATGCCCCCCCACCCCCTGCCAGCTCTCCCCTCCCCCAGTCCTCCAGCTACCCCCAACCCCCGATATATGACCCCTGTTGCCCCTGGCAGCCCTCCCTTCCCCAGCCCCCAACTACCCCCCCCCGGGCCCTGACCTATGTCACCCCCACCAATCCTCCCCTCGCCTAGCCCCCCAACTCCCCCCAGCCACTGCCCCACAACCAGACCCCCCTCCCCACTGCCCACCTCACAACCCCATCTACCCCCCAATCTCCCAGCCCCATAACCCCTCCTCCCCCAGCCCCCGTCTATCCTCCTCCTCCCCCAAGCCAGACCCCAAGCCCCTGGTCTATCTCCTCCCTCCACCCCCGCCCCCGGCCAGCTCCCCTGCCCCCCGGGAGCGTCTCTCTGTCTCCCCTTCCCCCCCCATATTTTGCCATTCTGCACCGAGGCCAAATGAGGTGGAATGAGGCTGCAGGGTCTGTGACCCCCCCACCACCAAGAGTCCCCCTGGACCGTGCCCCCCTTCCTGCCCCCTCAGCCCCCGTCCCCACAGCGACCCCCACCCTGTCCCTGCCCCATTGATCCACCCCCAGCCCTGCCCTCATCCCCCATGGGGCAGCCCCTCCCCCTGGCATGGGGGCCCGTCGGACACTCACCCTGGGGCTGCTCAACGGGCTGGACGAGAGGCCAGTGGAGGCACCGCTGACGGAGCGAGACCTGTGGGGGGGCACAGGGGAGAGGGGGTCAGGCCCAGCTCCAGGGTTGCCCCCCGCAGGGCCACGCAGAGGCGGGGGGGGGGAGCGGGGGTTGGCAGCAGCAGGGACACAGACAGGGAATCCCCCTCAGCAGTACAGGGGCTCTGAAACACAGCACGGTGCTTGCAGAGCAATGGGGGCGGATGCTCTGAGGGGGTGCGGCTGGGGGGCAGGGGATGTAGGGCGGTGCTCCCTAGTGCCAGGTTGTGGAATGGGCCCCTGGAGCAGTCGCCCTCCCGCCCGACCCCCTCCGGCGTCCCCCACCCCCCCTCACCTCTGGCTGTGCTGGGCCATCTCGATGGCCCGTCGGGCTGGGACCGGGGAGCCCCCGTCGGTGACGCTCAGGACCTCCATGGACTTCCGCTCGGGCCGCCGCTTCCCGTGGCGGTTCAGCATGGGCGAGTCGACCCGCTTCCGGGGGGGGTCTGCCAGGGAACGGGGGCGGGGTGAGTGTGGGATGTGGCCCCTCTGGGCTGCGGTGCGTGGGCCGTGATGCGGCTGGCTCTGGGGGGGGGAGCGGCGCGTGGGGATGCGGCTGGTCTGGGGGAGAGCGGCGCGGGGGCCGTGGGCGCTCGTGGGGGAGAGGCGGCGGCGTGGG